GGAGAGAAGGAGGAGGAGGAGCATCCTCTCCCTCCTCCCCCCTCCCTCTTCACGATCGGATGGACGGATGGTCGAAAGGCGCACGCACGGTCGCCAGAATCAGATTGAACCACATCCGTACAGGGCTTCTGCGGTAGAGCATGGTGCCCGCCCTGTCGCCGGCAGTGGACTCCGGCGAGCACATCAGCAGCGCGTGTGCATCGGGCGTTGTGACAGGTGAGTATAGAGGTGCATGTGTGTGCGCGGGCTGCCGCTCGCCTAGTGCAGCAACTTTTCTCCGCACGCGACTCGCCCTGGGCACCCCACGCATCTGCAACCCCAGGTGGACTTGATGCTAAGCGTGCCCCGCCTTGGCTCTCGCTGCAGTGACGCCACTCGGCCGCCGGAGGGAAAAAGCAGGGCGCGCGCGCCCTCTCCCGCCGTGCCCACATCGCCGCTGCGCCCTGTCGCTCCTGCGCGTGCCCTTCGCCCCTGTCCTTCTTCGCGACCTTGTGCTCTTAGGCAAGCCATTGGGCCTCGAGGACCCGAAGCGTCAGCTTCGCGTCCTCGCCCCCTCTCCCACCCGCGTCCTGCGCCGTTCCCCTCCTTCCCCGCTCCGGTCTTTCCTCTCCTTTTGCGCCTGCCTCGCGCCCCCCTGGTTGCCCTTTGCTTCTCTTACTTTTTGCTCTCTCTCCGCCGCCTCCCTGCCCGTGCCATGCTTCCGCGTTCCCTCGCGCCCGTTACTGCATCTCTGGCGTCCGCCCTCGCCGCCCCGGCCGCAGCTTCTCTTGGTCCGCTGTTCCCCTCTTTGCTCTGTGTGCCTCGGCCCCGCGCTTCTTAATGTGACCACCGTGCCTGCCATGCATATGGCTGCCGAAGCAATCTCTGTGTGTATGTACGTGTGCATGTGTGCGCGCGTTTGTGTGTGTGCGCGTGTGTATGTGTGTGCGCGTACATATGCGCACGCGTATGTATGTGTGCGTGTGTGTGTGCCGGTGTGTATGTATGCGTGCGTGTGTGCGCGCGCGTGTGTGAGTGTGTGTGTGTGCCGGTGTGTGTGTGTGTTGTGTGTGTTGTGTGTGTGTGTCCTGGATGGTTCATGGCCGACGGCTGCGGCCAGACCCTGAACGACAGTGAGGGTTCGGGCGTTTCTAAACGCGCGCGCGGCTGCTTTTCTACGATGTTCTTTGCCCTGTCGCTGCGCGCAGGGCCGCGACGCCAAAGAGTCGGTGTGCGAATGTGTGAATGTATGAGCGTGTGTGTGTGTGTGAATGTGTGTGAGAGAATTTGCGGATGTGTGTGTGTGTCCGCGTGCGTGTCCGTGTCCGTGTCTGTGTGTGTGGTGTGGTGTGGTATGGTGCGTGTGTGGGTGCCTGTGTCAGTGTCTGCATTTGTGTGTTTATTTACATTCGCGTATGTGTTTGTAGGTTTTTGTGTTTGTGTGTGGGTGTGTGTAGGTATCTGTGTATCTGTGTGTGTCTTTGTGAGTGGTTGTGTGTGGACGTATGTGGATGTGTGCGAATGTGTATGTTGTGTGGTGTGTTTGTTGTTTGAGGCTGTGCCTGTGTGTAAATGTGTGTGCGCGTGTATGTGTGTGAATGTATGTATGCGCTTGTGTGTGTGTGTCTGTGTCTGTGGCTGCTCCTGTATGTGTGAGTATGTGTCTGCCTGTGTCTGTTTGTGTCTGCCTGTGCCTGTTTGTGTCTGCGTATCTGTGCGCATGTGTGCGCGTGTGTGTGTGTATGGGTGCCTGTGTGTGTCTGTGGGTGCGTGTGTGTGTGTGTGTGTGTGTGTGCGCGTGTGTGTGCGCCAATTCGTGTCTTTGTGTGTGTCTGTGCGTGTCTGTTTGTGTCTGGGTGTGCGTGTGTGTGTGTGTGTCTGTGTGTTTGCGGGTTGTTGTGTATGTTTGCGCGTGTCTGTGTGTGCCTGTGTGTGTCTCTGTGTGCCTGTGTGTGTGTCCGTGGGTGTCGGTGGGTGTGTGTAGGTGTCCGTGTTTGTGCCTGTGTTTGTGTCCGTGCGTTTACGTATGTGTTTGTATGTTCGTGTATGTGTGTGTGCGTGTTTCTGTGTGTATGTCTGTTTGTGTGTCTGTGGGTGTCCCTCTGTGTGTCTGTGTGTGTCGGCATGTGTCGGTGCGTGAATATGTGCAAATGTGTGTGAAGGTGTCTGTGTATGTGAGTATGCGTTTGTTGTGTGGTGTGTGTTGTGTTTGTTGTGTGTGGTTGTGTCTTGCCTGTGTGTAAATGCGTGTGTGCGTGTGTGTACAGATGTGTCTGTGCACGGTTGTGTGTTAATGTGTCTGTGTTTGTGTTTGTGTTTGTGCTTGTGTGTGTCCTTGTGTCTGCCTGTGCCTGTTTGTGTCTGCCTGTGTCTGTCAGTGCATGTTTGTGTCTGTGTGTCTGTGTACCTGTTTGAGAGTATGTGCGTCGGTGTGCCTGTGTGTGTGTGTCTGTGCGTGTCTTTGTGTGAGTGCGTGTGTGTGTGTGTGCGTGTCTGCGTATTTCTGCGTGCGCCTGTGCGTGTCGGCGTGTGCCTGTGTGTGTGTCTGTGTGTGTCTGTGCGTCTGTGTGTGTCGGTGCGTATCTGTGTGTTTCTGGATGTGTCTGTGGGTGCGTGCGCATGCCTGCGCGTGTTTGGGTGTGCCTGTATTTTCCTGTGTGTGCCTGTGTGTGTCTGAGCGTGTCGGTGGGTGTGTCGTTGTGCCTGTGTGTGTCGTTGTGTGTCTGTGCGTATGTGTGTGCCGGTGTGTATGTATGTGTCGGTGTGTGTGTGTGTGCTTGTGTGTGTGGGGTTGTGTGTTGCTGTGTGTGTGTGTCTGTGTGTGTCTATGGGTGTGTGTCTATGTGTGTCTATGTGTGTTGCTGTGTGTCTGTGAGGGTGTCTGTGTGTGTGTCGGTATGGGTGTCTGTGTGTGCTTGGTTGCGTCTGTGTGTGTCTGTGTGTGTGTTGTGCTTGTGTGTGTGGTTGAGTGCGTCTGTGTGGAACTGTGTGTGGCTGTGTGCCTGTGTGTGTCGGCGTGTCTGTGTGTGCCTATGTGATTCTGTGTACGTGTCTGTGCCTGTGTTTTTTTGTGCGTATGTGGGAATTTGCGTGTGTGCGTGTGTGTGTGTGTGCGTGTGTGTGTGTGTGCGCGTGTGTGTGTGTGTGCGAGTTTGTATGCCTGGGTGTGTGTGTGCGTGTCTGTGTGTGTGCGTCTGTGCATGTCGGTGTGTGTGTCTGTGTGTGCCTGTGTGTGTGCTTGTGTGTACCTGTGTGTGCAAGTTTCAGCTTGTGTGTGTTTGTGTGTGTGTGTCTGTGTGTGCGCCTGTGTGGGCCTGTGTGGCGGTGGGTGTTCGTGTGTGACTGTGTTTCTGTGTGTCTATGTGGTTGTGTCTGTGCTTGCGTCTGTCTGCGTGTGTGCGTGTTTGTGTGTGCGTGTGCGTGTGCTTGTGCGTGTGCGTGTACGTTTGCGTGCGCGTGTGCGTGTCTGCGTGCGTGTGTGTGTGTGTGTGTGTGGTTGCGTGTGTGGGTGCGTGTGTATGTGTGCGCGTGCGTTTGTGTACGTGCGTGCGTGCGTGTGTGTGTGCGTGTATGTGCGTTGTGTGTTGTGTGTGTTGCGTTGTTGTGCGCGTGGTATGTGTATGTGTGGGGGGAGGGGCGGTGTGTGTGTGTGGGGGGCGGTGTGTGGGTGCGAGGGTGTGTGGGTGTGTGTGTGTGGGTGTGTGGATGTGTGGGTGTGTTTGTATGTGTGTGAGTGTGGGTGCATGTGTGTGTGGGTGTGTGTACGTGCGCGCGCATGCGTGCGTGTGCGCGCGTGCGCGCGTGCGAGCGCGCGTGCGTGTGTGCGTGTGCGAATGCATGTGTTTGAATGTGTGTGTGGGTGTGTGTGCGTGTGTGTTTGCGGGTGTTTGTAGGTGTGTGTGTGTGCGTGCGTGTGTGTGTGATTGCGTTGGTGGTTGAGTGGGTGGGTGGGCGGATGGTCGGGTGGGCGCGTGTGCGTGTCCTTGTGTCTCTGTGTATCTGTGCCGGTGGGTCTCAGTGTCTCCGTGTATCTGCGTGTCCGTATCTTTGTGTCTCTGTGTGTCTGTGCCTCGGTGTCTCCGTGTCTCTGCATCTCTGAGTCTCTGTGTCTTTATGTCTCTGTGTCTCAATGTCTCCGTGTCTCTGTGTCGTTGTGTCATTGCGTCTCTGCGTCTTTGTGTCTTTGTGTCTCTATGTCTCTGTGTCTCTGTGTCGCTGTGCTTGTCTGTCTCTGTGTCTCGGTGTATCTGTGTCTGTGCGTCTCCGTGTCCCTGTGTCTCTGTTCCTCGGAGTCTCTGTCTCTGTGTCTCCGTGTCTCTGTGCCTGTGTGTTTTTGCATCGTTGGGTGCTTATGTGTCTCGGTGTCTGTGCGTCTATGTGTCTGTGTCTCTGTGTCTCTGAGTCTCTGTGCATCTGTGTCTCTGTGTCTTTGTGTCTCTGTATCTCTTTGTGTCGGTATGTCTCTGTGTCTCTGTGTCTCTGTGTCGCGTCGCTATGTCTCTGTGTCTGTGTGTCTCTGAGTCTGTGCGTCGGTGGGTCTGTCTGTGCGCCTGTTAGTCTGTGTCTCCGTGTGTATTCGTGCGTCTGGATGTGTCTGTGTGGTTGTGTGTGTTGCTGTCTGTGTATATGTTTGTCTGTGTGTCCGTGCTTGTCTTTGTGTCTGTGTGTCTGTGCATGTGTGTGTCGGTGTGTCTGTGTCTGTGCAAATGTGTGTGTGCGTGTGTTTGTGTTTGCGGGCACGAACCCCACTGGGCACGTGCGCATAAAGGCCATGGGGGGATGCAGATTTGACAGCATGGTGGTCCACTTGGTTTAAGTTCCCAAGCAAGCCACCTCCAACCCAGAGTGCTATGTCACATTCGCCGACAGTGCCAGAATAGTGGTTGGGCCCTCTGTGTAAGATCGAGCGCGCGCGGGCAGCAGTGAGCGGAAGGCGGGTAGGGAGCAAGTGGGACCGCACATTTTTTTGATCAAGTCTGATGCGCGGTTGGCGCGGAGCTCTCTTGCGGTTGTGGTGAGAGATGTTGGCGTTCAAGAATTTGGCCAAGTCCACGCTGGGGGAGCTGAAGGGCGCCCTTGTCGAGGCGGACGATGACGAGGACCCCGCAACCATCGTGTAAACGGCGGAAATGTCATTCGAACCCCGAGCCTCACACACCAGCACCACAAACCATGTGTTGGCACGTAGTCCGTTGGCATGTGTAGTTGTCTTGCCGATGGTGCGGAGGACTGTTCCATATTCATGCAAAGGTCATAGTTAGATTGGCATACGGTTTTGTTGTTCAAGCAATGCTTGCACTTAGCGGTTTTACATTTGTTACTCAGGAATTGGGCCTGTCTGTCGGTCTGGCGGCTATGCTGCCGCCGTCCACATGTACGGCACATGTACGGCACCACCTGTATTGCGCATGATAGATTGCATCACGTAGCTTGCACGACATCGATTGCACCACATAGGTTGTGCCAGATAGTTCGTACCACATTGCTTACACCAGAAATATGTCAGATCAAAGATTGCACCACGTATGTTGCACACATCATAGGTGGCACAACGTGACACTGTGGCATGGACGCTGAGATTCCAGCACCGTCTGAGCGCCTGAACCGCACGGCCTCCTGCCTTCTGCCCCTGCCGACGGTGCCCGACGTTCCCCAGGCACTTCGTCGTCGTCGTCGTCGTCGTCGTCGTCGTCGTCGTCGTCGTCGTCGTCAGGGCTGCCAGGCACTCTGGCAGCCCTAGGCGTGGGCACCCTGGGAACGTATGCACTGCACCGTTTCTGCTGCTCAGGCCCCCCCCCACCCGCTCTCCCCTTTGCCTTGCCCCAGCCCCCGTGCTCCTGGGCGTCCTTCCTCCCCGCTTCCAGTTGGGTCTCGTTCCTGTCGCCATCCAGCAGGCGCATCAATCAGAAGTCGCCCTGCCAGCCGGTGCCTCGCAGAAGTTCCTCGTCCTCCGAAAGCCCAAGGGACCCCCAGAAGCTTTGGGGCACCCACCTTGGGACCCTCAAAGATCAACGAAGGACGCGTCCCAAGATTTCTTATGGCAAGACTTCTCGTCGCGTGTGCCCGCTGCACTTCTCCTTCGCCCCATCGCCCCCTGCTCGCCCGACCTGCTGCCTGGGCGCCCGCACCCTGTGCCAAGCGGCGTGGCCGCGGCCCAGAGGACGAGGAGGACGTCGACGAGGAGGACGGCGCCGACGCGCAGGAGCCCTGCCAGGAGCGCACTGTGCTGTGCGCTGCGGTCGCCTGCGATTCGATTCGCGGAGGCTCGGCCCCCGATTTCGACTCGATTCGATTCGGCTCGGTTCAGCGGCACCAGCCGGGCCAGCCAGAGTTGGGCGCGGCGGCCCGGTGTCTCGACCGATTGAAGTCAAACAGGGGGATGCCGTTGTCGGCGGTTCGGGGAACCGCGCGCATCTCCACCGTCAGGAACTCTGGCTTCGCGCGTCGCTCCGACGGTTCTTGCCCACCACGCATGGGGGGGACACACCATCCATGCCATGGTCCACGCGCGTGAACGCCCCTGAGACTTTCCCAGCCTCCCGCCCCGCGGAGCGGAGCGACATGCCATCCGCTTGCAAGGCACAGCGTGTTGCCGGGGCAGCTGCCGCGACACGCTGTTCAAAAGCTCCTGACAGTAGGGTACAGTCGATAATCTGATTAAGAAGCCTCCTCCGGAAAATCTTGGCCAGCGTTTCTCAACCAGCTTGCCAGAAAGCCGGCCCAGCTTCTTGAACACGTCCATCCCATCCAGCGTTAGCACCAGAAGCCGGCCCAGGCTTGGTTCAGGACACTTCCAGGAAGCCGGCCTAGGTCTCTCAGTTGTTTCCTCCCTTCTTAGAAGGCCAAAAAGTCGTTCGTGTCAGCGTCGGCCTGCCCCGTGTGGTTGGTTGTGGCAGGTCCTGAAGAGGATGGCCAACCACACGCCGAAACGCTGGTGGCGAACTGGACCCGGGGTGCCCGAATAGTTGGGCACACTCAGTCCTAGACCAGATATGAGCATTTGTGTTGACTTATGTTGCACTCATTTTGATATGCCTGGCAAATGACGCTCTTGAGTGCTCACGCTCTTGATCATATCTCTGGCCGTATTCCCGAAGTTCCTGGCCGCAGGGAATGCCGTGGTCGGCCGCTCGGGGGGCGCCGCGCGCACCTCGACTCGGCACACCGCGGCAGCCCGCCCCCGCTTCGCACCGTGCCCGCGGCGAGTCCTGCCGCGCGTGAAGTCGGGCCTGTCCCTCTACAGGAGGAGTCTTCAAACATATTGTTTTTTTTTAAAGAAAAAACAACACAAAAAAAACAAAACAAAACAAAAAAAAACCTGGGGACGATGTTTGAGTATTTTGATCATTTGGGGGTATGTTTTGAGTATCTGCTATTTTTCGCCCGAAACCCCCCTGTAGGGGGACACGCCCGACTTAGGCCGCGCGCGAGGAGCCTGCCGATGCGGGGGGGCGGGGGGAGGGCAGTGCCCCGCCTCGGCCCGTCCTGCTCTCCCGCCGCCTCTCTCCCCCGCGCCAGGGCCCCATCCGTCCTGCTCGCCGCCCCGCTCGCCGAAGGGAGCAGGCCACTGCAGGAACACCATAAAAAAACTCCGAGGTCCGCGCGCAGTTCTTGCGTCGGCGCCGGAACCCCCTTGGCGGCGCCTGCGGCGCCGCCCCTAGCGCGCTCCGCGCGCCAGGGAGGGGTCCGGCGCCGATGCAACAAATCCGCGCGGACCTCCGAGCTGATATGCTTACGCCATTGTTCGCTCCCCTCGCTCAAGTAGGGGTGGAGTGTCCTGGCTTGCCTAGATGCCCACTGAAGAATGCTCTAAGGACCTGTCGTGGTTAGCACGAAATGTGCTGAGAACAAATATGGCTGAAACTGTTTTGTTTTATTGCGTCGGCTTTATGTTCTAATAGCACGAGTTATGTTATTGTAACATTCTTCAGCTCTACGAAAACTGTGTGGTAGGGATATAGGAATGCCGAGACGGTCGGCCCCTGCTCAATTCTCGCTCCTCCACCCATCTTACCCTCCAGGCATGCTCGCGCCGTGAGAAACAAAATAAGAACAGATACGACGGGAGGCGTTTGGGGCCGGTCTCGGCCTCGTGGGGTCCTTTCGCGGGGCATTGGGGCCGCTGAGACACGCATCGGAGCGGAAGACCGGCCTTTGGGTCGAGCAGTGGCGAAGCGTCTGGGCTCGCCTGTAGGCTCACCAAAGAATGTTCTAAGAACCTGTCGCGGTTTGCACCACATGTTCTTAAAACATTTCTGGCTGAGACTGTTTTGTTTTAGTCCATCGGTTTTGGGTTGAATAGTGTGTATGTTATTTGAACCTTGTTTTGTTCCGAGAACATAGTTATCGTGGTAGGCCCAGAGGATTGCCAGGACGGTCGGCCCCTGCTCAATGGGGAGAGGGTCGGGATTTCCAGGGACCCCATTGAAAAAAAAACAAGACATCGGATGTCTGCGCCTCCACCCCTTTTCTGCGACTTCCCCACCCCAGTTCCATCCCCTGCCCCTTCATCATTCCCTGCCTGCTTGGGTGGTTGGGTTGGGGCAGCGGTGTTTTTGTCCCACTTCCAGGCAGGGCGGCCTCACAAGTCCCGTCGGAATGGATGTGTTTAGCTTGCTCACCCTTGTGAGCTCACAGAGTAATGATGGTCATCACCATCATCATCAGCAGCAGCATCATCAGCATCATCATCCTTATCATTATTATCATTATCATTGGCATTATCGTCATCGTCTTCATCATCACCATCAGCATCATCATCATCAGCATCATCATCATCATCAGCATCATCATCATCCGCACAATCATCATTATCCCCTGGCAGCGTTGCAGTTCCGAACGATCCCATGGGCTGCGTCGACCGACCGGCCCTTACGGTCGAGCGCCAGGCAGGCTACAGGGGGGCAGAGGAGGAACGCATGCCGTCCGTCGAGGCCCGAAGGCGATGGTAGACCCGTCGCTGGGGCGCCAGTCTTGCTCTTGTCTTCCCCAGCGGAGGAGGAGGAGGAGGGGGAAAAAGAGGAGGAGGAGGAAGAGGAGGAGAAGAGAGGCAAAGACGAGGAGGAGGAGCAGGAGTAGGAAGAGGAGGAGGAGAGGACGACGACGCGGGCGGGCAACACGGACGATGAGGACAGGGACGAGGACGAGGAAATAAGGGGGGCGACGGAGAGGACGAGCCCAGAATTCCGGCGTCGTGATTCTGTCCACAGCGTGGACCCACCGAAGTCCCGACCCCTTCCCCAGAACAAGTTCTTCGTCCCGAGTCGTTTCCCGACGGTCCTGGGGCCCATTTGGAGGTCGAGGACTGCCAGAAGCCCGCCGTCGTGTTTTTTGCACGCCGCACCCCGCCTGCGCGAGTGAGTCGCCGAACGGCCTGACGAGGGGAGGGACGAAGGGGACGGGAGGGACAGAGGGGAACGAAGGAGTGAGCGGAGGGAGTGAAGGGAGGGAGCGAGGGAGGGAGGGAAGGGAGGGGAAGGGACGGAGGGGAGGGAGAGAGGGGAGGGAAGGAATTCGCTGGAGCTCGCTGGGGACAGGGATGATGACGAGAGGCCCCGCCCGTGCCAAGGAGTCGCCGAATGGCCGGTCGGCCCCGCCAGTGGAGCCGCCGCGCGCCGGGATCGCGCAGCGCACGGACACGGCCGGCCCGCCGCCCCGCCGTCATGTTTCAGCGCATTTGCCTCTGCGGGACTTTCTCGAGGTCTCCTAGGTCAGCATTAGAGGTTCGAGGTTCGAGGGTTTCGGACGTTCTTATCGATTCTTGGCGCTTTCCCCGCCTCGGGATGCTTTCCAGCGACTGCGCCTCACCGAGACGTGTCCGGGGGTGCCCGGATCGTCCCGAACGGCCGCCGCATCGGCGATGTATCGCCGATTCCAGGACATCTATGTTGCACAGCAGAGGTTGCACCACATAGCTTACACCACATCGCTTGCACCACCTACCTTACACCACATAGATAGTACCACATAGCGTAAACCATAGCACACACACACGCACACGCACATATTCATCCATATATATGTATATATATATATATATATACACATGTATATATATATATATATATATATACACCACCACATAGATTGTACCACATAGCATGCTAGAACACGCTGTTTGGGGGTCCACGCTGGCTAACATGCGAAAAAAACGCAGCCGTGCCCCAGGAGCGCCCAGAATTCGGCCATGTCGAAGTATGCAGTACCGCAGTCTCAGGATTGCCTAAGGGACCTGAGGACACTGCACTGCACTGCGCACCAAAGCATGGTGGCTGAACTCAGCGGGGCCCCACGGCCACCAATGACCAGACACTCACGACCATTGGGTATTACGGATCGGATTTCATTGCCACGCGCCACCAGACCCCCCGACAATTGGATCATGGGGGGACCCTCTGGCCACCCATGGCCAGACATCGTCGACCAATCCCTAACATACGAATCGAGGTCTGTGTTAAGGCAAGCGCTGTTAGAGGAGTCACACCAGTTATGCTACGTGGAGCCGTGACGTCACATTGCAACACATCGATAAGTCGATATGAGGATCTGTATATCGCTCCGTATCTCAAAGCGGGCAGGAAGATTTAGTGCAGCCGCACTTCAAGAAGAACAAGCACGGCGGTGACCCGTCAGGGATCGTGTCGTTCTGCTGGGTGGCGTGTGTTCGAGCCCGACGTCCGAGCAGGAGGCCGAAGTCAGCGGGGCCGCTCCAGTGGTCCAGGTCGGGGAACCTTCTCGTGGCCGAAGCTCGCCGTCGCGAGAAAAGCCTCCATCTCTCTCCTTTTCGGCGTTCTTCGTGGCAGCACGACGACTGTAGCAGGCCGATGCGTCTGGTGTTCCTTACGCACCGCGCTCCCGTGCCGCAGGCTGGCGCCGCCACTGCGGCGGCGAGCGGCTGGCGCGCGCGGAGTGCCACGCCCGAGCGCGTCGCTCCCGGCGCGGCGGCGCCAGCGCAATCCGCGGCAGCCTCGGACGGCGCCCTGGGCGGACCCCCTCCTCCTCCCCCTCCTCCCTCCTCCTCCTCCTCCTCCTCCTCCTCCTCCTCCTCCTCCTCCTCCTCCTCCTCCTCCTCCTCCTCCTCCTCCTCCTCCTCCTCCTCCTCCTCCTCCTCCTCCTCCAGGCGGCGGCGGCAGCTCGGCGGCCTTGGCAGGTCCTCGCCTCGAGGTTTTCGGATGATCTCGTCGGCTCTCCGCGCTCTGCCGGCCTCGGGACGCATATTCCAGCAGCTGCGCCCGGCCGAGAGCGTTCTCCAGGGGCGCGCCTGCATCGCCGCCGAGCGGCCGCCAGGCAGCGGAATTCTGAGGGGGCAACGACATGGGGGGGGACAGGCTCAGGGGAGGGGCATCGACCCCCCAATCGCCCACTCATCGCGGGCAGGGGCAGGATGGCCCACTCTGCCCGAGAGCGTGCGGATGCGCTATCGGGGGTTCGTCGCCGTCTCCAGCTCGGTATTTCCCCCCCGGGCGAGCTGGGCCCCTCCTGACGCTCCCTTCGCCTTGGCGAGCCAGATTTCCCACACGGAGCGCTCCAGAAAGGAACACTCCTTCGAGGATCGGAGAAGTTGGCATCCCTTCCTCGGCGGGAGCTGGCCGGGGGGCGGCGGAAGTGGAGCGAGGGCGGCTCCGCCGGCAGGAGGGCGGCGGAAGCTAAAGAATTTGCCTTCCAGGGGATGCCGTTTGGATCCAGGTTTTCGCCGGAACGGCCAGAATGGGCGGCTGGTACTCCATTGTTTCTTGAGGGGAAATCGGGCCGAACGAAACGGGGGGATAGGAAAAGGGGGGTTTACGAAATCTGCTGCATGCCTCGATACATGGCCGCCTCTGGCGCCGGGAGGCGCCGGGAAAATCAGCTACGCACGTGAGTTGATTCTCAAACCCCCCTTTGCTATCCCCCCCTTTCGCTCGGCCCGAGAAAAAAGGACACTGGCGGTGAATTGTACTCGGTCCCACGGCCCGCTCGTTCGGGCCTCGGCAGCCCAGCGGCCAGCTGGGGGGGAGGCTGGGCAGTCACGGAATCCCGCGCAAGAGACCTTCGGGGGGCCAAGTCCAGGCCGAGTTGGGACCGAACGGCGGATTGAATCCCGCGCAAGAGACTCTGGGGGGGCCAAGTCCAGGCCGAGTTGGGACCGAGCGGCGGTGCAGTTGGTCGTCAGCGCAGCATTCTCGAGGGACTCCTGGAGCTTCGGAGGCATCTGCGGAGCCTTTGGGGGGGGGGCCTTCGGGACAGCTGGGGTGAGGTTCTCAGGGGCGTGGGCGAGGCTCCAGGGTCGTTCTTGGGGAGTGCGTTGGGGTCGTCTGCTGGGCAGTCTTGTATCTCTGGGGGCAGTCTGTGCAGTGTTTGAGCCCTCCTGGGACCGTCTTAGAGGCTTCTTGGGACCCAGGTGGGCCTTCCAGAGAATTCTTCGGGTCAACTGAGGTCGAAAGGCCGAGACGGCAACATGGTGAAGGACACGATGTTCGTATTCGGTGTTGGCCATGTCGGTCTTCTCCGGGTTCTCTGAAGCCCTCTCTCAGGGCATGTCGTGTGCCGCTTCCAGCCCCTTTGGGAGCCCGTGCGCTGTCTTGGAGGCACGTTGGGCCGTCCTCGCGGAATCCTGGGGCTCGCCTGCTGTTTTGGAGCCGCCTTCGGGGAAAAATGGCGGTGCGCCCCGCACCTTCAACGAGCCCGTCCGCCTTCCAGGTGGTGAGCTCACCCATCGAATGAACGAATGGTTGAAGTCTCGGTGGGGGAGGGGCAATTTGACACGCGCGCCGACCGCAAAAGGGTCAGCGGATTCGAAGCGTGGCCACGGTTGATCTACACCCCTCGTATATAGAAAAGACGCCTCCTCTCCGAGTGCGCCCTTAGCGGGCAGAATTGCGGGTCCGTTGTACTGTCCACTGTTCAGGGGCCCGCCCGCGTTATGTTCACGAAGCCAGTATTGTCTTTCCCCCCTCCAGTAGTAGGATGCGCCCAGGAGTCATCCCACTCTGACTCCACAGCGACAGCCTGAAAAGGAGGAGGAGCAACAGCAGCAGCAGCAGCGGGAGTGGGCAGCGTGAGAAAACAAAATCACCATCCCCCCCTCCCGACGTCTGCCCCATAGGCAGACTGCCGCAGCATCGGGCAGCGGGAAAGACTCGGCTGCTGAAGTTGCACGAGAAGGGTGCACGGCTCAGGGGAGGGCACCCTAGCGTTATTTGTAGGATGTGATTGTCCATTTTGAGGAGGGTACCCTTGGCTGTTCTGTGTGTTTTGGCCGGCGGAGGGTCTCGCGTTCTTGAAAGATGTTCTTATGGCCTAGGTCCGATTGTAGTATGTGTGTGGGTGTATGTGTATGGTGTGTGTTGTGCGTGTGTTGTTGTGTGTGCTGTTGAGTGTGGTGTTGTGAGTGTTGTTGTGTGTATTGTGTGTGCGCGTGTGTATGTGTGCATGTGCGTGCGTGTGTGTGTGTATGCGTGCGTGTGTGTGTGTCTGTGTGTCTGTGTGTGCCTGTGTGTGTCTGTGTGTCTATAGGTATGTGTGTCTGTGTGTATGTTTGTGTGTTCTGTGTGGTGTGTGGTGTGTGGTGTGTTGTGTGTGTTGTTTGTGTGTGCTGTGTGCGTTGGTTGTGTTGTGTGTTGTTTGTGTGTGTGTTGTGTGTTGTGTGTGTTGTGTGTGTGTGTGTTTCGTGTGTGTCGTGTGTGTGTGTCGTGTGTGTTGTGTGTTGTGTGTTGTGTGTGTTGTGTGTATTGTGTGTTGTGTTGCCTTGGCGGGCACCCTAAGCATCTTGGCCCGCCACTCCTCCACATCTGCGAGGAGTGCCCACCCCTCGGCGCGGGAGGCTCAATGAGGCCCAGACCAGCCACAGATTGTTTCGGGGCGTGCGGGTCCTGGCCCCCGCAATACTGGACGATCTGTCGAGGCCGAGTTGCGGTTTTGAGGCGGGAGGGTACGCACAGTTGCCGGGTCGCGCGCCTGGTGGCCCCAAGGACTTGGGCGGAAGTTCAAGGATGGTATGCTCCCTTCTAGGAGGCCTCCAATCTTAGGAAGGGCCGTTCCCTTCTAGGAAGGGCCGTTTCCCTTCTAGGAAGTTCAAGAGGGCTCGTTCCCTTCAAGAGGGCAGTTCCCGTTCTTCGAAGGCCTGCCCCCCAATCCTGGCACAGAATTTGCCCGCCGCCAAGATGGCACGGCGACCAGTCGCTGGGGGCATTGCGGTCCCGTTGGCCAGGTGCTGCGTTGGCAGCGCCGGTCAGGAGCGAGCTCCCTTTGCCGCCGCCGAGCGCCAAGGAGGATGCCGAGGAGGCGCCCGAGATGAGGAGGAGGGCGGCAATGACGACGGCAGGAGGTTTGCCGCACGATTGCCGTGTGCTGGTTGCGCGCTGTTCCTTCTTTTCGTGTGTGGTCCCACGGCCCTTCGTGGTCGCGCTCGCGTGACGGGGGGGTCTGGAGTCGAGCCCGTGCCCGTGAGGTCCCGTCGTGTGGAGGGTGGGGTTCAGAGATATCGGCTCGGTGGCCCCATGGCGCCCCCTGCACTGGCCCATGGCGCTGTGATTCACTGATCCTGTGCTCCTCCGCCTCCTCCTCCTCCTCCTGCTCTTCCTCCTCCTCCTCCTCCTCCTCCTCCTCCTCCTCCTCCTCCTCCTCCTCCTCCTCCTCCTCCTCCTCCTCCTCCTCCTCCTATTCCCTCCTCCTATTCCTCCTCCTCCTCCTCCTCCTCCTCCTCCTCCTCCTCCTCCTCCTCCTCCTCCTCCTCCTCCTCCTCCTCCTCCTCCTCCTCCTCCTCCACGGCTGCTGTGTGACAGGTAAGCCTCAGGGCTCGAGGCCCACGGCCCCTTCGTGGGCCCTCCCGAGGTGGGCGAGGCTCGGGAGGCGAGTCGGCGGCTCGTGGCTCGTGGCAGGGTGCCCCCATCATGGCCAGCGGCCCCTGGGCCTCCCTTGGCTTTCGCGCAGGCGGCGAGGCTCGCGGGCAGATTCAGTGGCCCTTAGGTTCCGTGGCGCCTGGCGTCCTCATGTGGATTGCCCAGGGGCGTGCCCAGCCCAGCTGCATCAGGTCGTAGCACCACTGGGCACGCCCAAGACGAGCGAGCATCCGTAATGCCACGCGGTCTGTTTTGGAAGCGACGCGTGAACCCAGCCGCTGCACACCCGATGGGACCTGTACTTAGAGGACAAGGAGACACCGAAGGGGAGGAGGGACAGCAGAAGGTGGAGGAGGAGGAGGAGGAGGAGGAGACGCAGGGCTTTCATAGAGGAGGAGGGTGGTGGCATGGGCATGACCAAGCACCAGCACAAGGATGAGTCAGAGGATGGTGCGGATGGCGATGGGGAATGGCATGCGGTCGGTGACGATGAAGATGCTTTTGTCAAATCGCCGATGCAGAAGTGGTCCTGGGCTGAGTATTGTAATCAACATCGTGACCTAACCCTGCGCCGCTCACTGCAGGCACGGAGTGTTCGCAGCCGCGCGCTCTCACGGCGCGAGATCCCGTTTGGATCTGGCAAAGACCGCATTCCGTTGGACCTCCCAGGTTCTCACATGAGGTGTGACAGCTCCGCCGTTGGCAGTTCCCCAGGGAGCGTGAGCTACGACGTGCTGGTCGCACCGCCAACCGCTGGACCTCCCAGGAGCTCACGAAAGTGGCGACATTTGAGCGACGTAGAAAGGCGAGGTCGCTTGCGCCAGCATTCGAGCGTAAGGTCGCGCGCAAGCACCCTCGCCTCCAGTCGATCGTGCCGCGCAGGCGGCCCGCGTAAGCCACCGCGTGAGGCCGTCATGTCGTCATGCGGAAGGCCCGTTGAGTTCCATCGCTCGCCTGTACACAACCTCAGGGAGCGCGGGGCCCGCCCAGACCTGGGCATGACCGTAACTTGCTGGACCTCCCAAGAGTTCGCGGCAGTGGCGACGGTTGCGCCGATGGCAGCCCCAGGGAGCGCGAACTCCCGCTCGGATATGACACTTGCGCACTTGGCTGCCCCCAGGGAGCACGAGGCCACGTGCGGAACGGGGTATGACCTCATCCCGCTGGACCTCCCAGGGGCTCACGAAAGTGGCGACAGCCGTTGCACACATGGCAGCCCCCTGGGAGCGCGAGGTACCGCTTGCATGTACATGAGACCGCACTCTGTCAGACCCCCCGAAGAGCTCACAAAAGCGGCGACGGTTGCGCAGTTGGCAGAATCCAGAGAGGGCGAGAGAGAGGAAAATTGGGAACAAGCGAAGAGGAAGCGAGGAGAAAGGGAGGAAGCGGGAAAGGATGGGAGCAGCAGTGCTCTACCCAAAACGAGTACCAAACACAGGAGGGCTTGGAAAAGCACCTCGACACATCACGCAATCGCCGATTGCAGGTTGGTTCGTGCCGCGTTCCCGAAGTACTTGGCGGTCGTCTGTTTCACGCCGTGGCGCTTGACCATTGGCGGCGACAGCAGGTGGCCGCGGAGGTGAGAAGGAAAGTGCATGATGGCAAGTCACGGGACACCTGCGTGGCGGATCACGTGACGTGTCATGCGAAGGCCGCGTGACGGATCCTCGAAGCCCTTCGGTATGAAGCTCAGGAGTCGATTCGGTTGTTCGTGTCTCCGTGGCCCTCGCGCGATCGGCGACGCTCAAAGGTCGACTCGTTGGCTCGTGGCCAGTGGCCCTGGGTCCCCTCTGGCCCTAGTGTCGGGGGGCGGTCGAGACGCGAGTCGGTGGCAAGGCCTCATGGCCCCTTGCGGCCCTCGCGTGAGGAAACTCAAGAGTCAGCTCGGTCGCTCGCATCCCATTGGCCTCGTGGCCTGTCGTGCACGGCACGGCTAGCACTTGAGGGTATGCAATCGGGATGGCATGTTATGGATTGCTCACCCTATTGTGAGCGCATGTTGGATCAAGAACAGCGAATTGTGAACGCATGCTGCTGGACCGAGAGCAGCGAGCACAATCGCGGCACCACATTTATGGAGCGCGCCGTTGCACTATATTCGTGGTACAGTGTGGCCGCGCATCAAGGAACGGGATGCGTGTCGTCAGAGTACCTCGGGTTTCTTGGCTCTGCGCTCTGCGCGGGGACTTCCCGCGGCTGTCAAAGAAGCTGCTGCCTCCATGGGTGCTTCGGGTTCCCTCGCATTTGCAGCTCGCGCACGGGTTTTCACTGTCGGGTTTCCGGCGAGGGTTTCTTGCGGCCACGTCCGCATTCGAAGAACGAGGCGTGAGCGGACGAGGAAGGCACACGACGGTGATGACATACGCCGTGGCAGATGAGCCAGACGGAGGCCGAAGAGCCCCCCCATGGCGCCTCACAGGCGCCCGCGCTGCCGAGCGCCGCGGAGATCCTGGCGGAGCTGGGCGGCGCTGCCGAGGGTGACGACAGGCTCACGGGCGCCAGCAAGCCTGCGGGGCCTGGCCTGCATGCCGAGCATCGAGCTCAGCGGGCCCTGGAAACACCAGTGCAGTGTTTGGTACCGTTTTCGTGTCTCCGTGTTTTCGTTACCGTTTCCGCCGCCGTTGTGTTTACGGTTCCAGCGCCGTTGTTTTACCGTTTTCGTTTCTCCTGCTTGGGGGCTTGGCTTGGATCACCGTTGTCTTCTACCAGGTTCGAACATGTTTCGAACCGGCTCCGAACGTCCTTCGCCGCATTGCCCAGGCAGTTACGGTGAATCGTTGCTTTACCGTTTCGGTGAATCGGTTTTCGGCAGTCGTCATGATCGAGAGGCAGTTTTTCGAGAAAACTGTCAAGAATGCTCCGCCGCTTCGGGGGCCCAGACAGGCACGGGGTGTGCACGAGGGGGGCGACACCCTTCTTCCGGGAAGACAATTATCGCATTGGGAGGATGGGGTTTGGAGAAATTAGGGTTTCCTTACCCGTAGGCAGCCGAAGGTATCGTTAATTGCATCCGGATGCTATTATTCCTGCCCTTCATCCTCCCAACCCCTTCCTCCCAACGCGAAGTTGTTCTTCTCACTCTTCCTGTCCCATGGTGAGACGGTGGCCAGTACCCCATGTTTCGACGTTACGAAAGTCTGGCCGAAACGCAGCGCTTCCCCCGCCAGGCGGCGGGGTCCGAATAAAATGCCGTCATGGGTGCGTCTCCGTGCTTCGGGTAGCGAAGGCATGTGCTCTCGCTCACTTTGGCTAACGGCCCGGAAATGTTCAGCCCCAGTCAAAGTTTCGTTTACGGGGAAATATTTTGCGAAGTCCCCTTTCCGATTTCAGACCGACGAGTTTCGATTTCGGTCGAAAAGCTCGCGGCAAAGATGGTCGGAGAAATCGCAAATTCGGTTTCGAACCGACGAGATCCGACATCATGTCGAAATCGCTGTTTCCGAGGAAGTCTGTCCAGGGGGAAATCCACAATCGCGACTGATTTGGTCAGTGAGTCCAAAACTGTTAGGTGCCCTCCGTGTTGGCCGAGTCTAAGAGGCGATTCCGCTTGAGACCTCCTCAAGACAGATTCATCGATGTCGGACCGATCGGGCTACAAAACCCACATCGGCCAGCATCCTTACGCAGTGGGTACAGAAGTGCGTTTAGAGCTGGCACTGACACTCCCGAGCTCTTTGCCCTCCCCCATCCTCCCTCCTCTCCTCCTCACCGCTTCATCCTCAGCGCCACGAGCCGCGTCGGCAGGGCGGATCGGGCGTTTCGCCCAGAACTTCCTCGCCGCCGGTGGCCTTGAAGTCTGCAAGCTCCAAGAGCTACACGGATCCACGGCTGCCAGGCTTCAAAGTGTGGTTCCACGTACGTTCGTCCAAGAGGTGCCCAGCAGCTTCAAAGTATGGAAGGCGATCCGTTCTCGAAATGCGGTGCTCGACTTCGCGCCGCGCTCGCTCGCAGGGACGGAGGGCGCTTTCCGTTTCAGAGCCAGGTTCCCGCACGAGCCCTCTTCACTACCCATCATGTCTGTATACGTGTACATATATATACATAGATACACATTTTATATATATATATATATTAATGTGTAGATCTGTAAGTGTACAAATGTATATATATATATATGTGTGTATATATATGGTCGCCCCCGCCCCCTTTTGTGATCATACCTCTCTCTCTCTCTGTCTCTCTCTCTCTCTCTCTCTCTCTCTGCTTCTCTGCTCCTTCCTCGGTCTCCTCTCTCTCTCTCTCTTATTTGTCCTCCCCCTCTCCTCCTCCTCCTCCGCCTCCTGCTCCTCCTCCTCCTCCTCCTCCTCCTCCTCCTCCTCCTGCTCCTGCTCCCACTACTCGTTGTAGCGATACAGAACCAATACCAGACAACGCTTGGCGCCCTTGGTGCAAGGAAACACTGTGTATATTTGGTTTGTTTGGTTTTTCTGGCTTGGGATGCAAGGAATCAGTGTGTATGGTTGCTCTGTTTTGTTCATGCGGTTTTGCAGGCCCCAGTGCTCGCCGCGGCCTCCCTCGCAGCACTTCCCTCTGAGCCTGCAATAACAAAAAAAACATGCGCAGTAGATGGCGCCCTTGGTGCATGGAAACACTGTGTATGTTTGTGTGCTTGGTTTGGGGGATGTGTGAAGCAACGAAACACTGTGTATGCGTGTTGGTTGTGCTTGTTGTTTTGCTTTTGCCGACCCCAATGCTCGCCGCGGCCTCCCTCGCAGCACTTGACCCTGCAAACTTTAGAAAAGTACACCACTGTATGCGTCCTTGCATTCCCAGGCCAGAAAGAAGGAACAAAAAAGCGTTTCTTTTAACCGAAGCAAGCAGAAAGGAGAGAAGAGGGAGGAAGGAGGAAGGAATCCCATTGGATTTGAATATGATTCAAGCCGTGAATAAATATAAGGAAAGGGGCGGGGGAAGAAGAAGAGGAGGAGGAGGAGGAGGAGAGGGAGGGAGGGAGGAGAGATTCTACGGGATCTGAACCAGGCCAAAATAAGAATTCAATCGGAAAGCGGAACAGGAGGAGGAGGAGGAGGAGGAGGAGGAGGAGGGGGACGAGGAGAAGGTGGAGGAGGAGAAGGAGGTAAGCGATTGGAGTTGACTATGATCCAAGCAGTAGCGGTTCAAGCATACAGGAGGGGACAAACATGAGGGAGGCGGGATTCGATTGGACGTGAAGAAGGTTCACATACAGGTTCAATGAAGAAAGGAGAGGACAAGGAGAAGGAATATCAGAGGCGGAGGAAATTATAGTGGATCCGAATGAGGCCCAAGTAAGTAGTAAAGGAGGACGAGGAGAAGTGGAGATAAGGGAGGAGGCAGAATCAGCCAGAATCAAAACCAGGTCTGCCGTAGCTGGTGTTACGTTGGGTGACGGAAGCGCCAGTTGGTAGAATGGGACGGGGCGGGGGCGTCCCCCGGCACACATCATTAAAGCAGGTCCCACTAAACCCAACATAAACATACAGTAGGTTCGCGTCGTGTCGACCGGCGGCGACCCCGCCGCCGACGTTCAACGTTGAACGCCGACGGCGGCCCAGAATCGGTCGATGTTGAACGATCGGACGTCGCGGAGACGGCCGATCGTTCAAGGTTGAACGATCCAGCGCGGCGTCAGGAACCAACGCCAGGGTCGACACGGCACGAACCTGCAGTAAATTTGTGGCGGTCCGCGCGGATTTCCTGGATCCGCGCTGGGCCCCTCCGGCGGCGCCTCCAGCGCCGCCCCTGGCGCGCTCCGCGCGCCAGGGAGGGGAGTCCAGCGCAGATCCAAGAAGTCAGCGCGGGCCGTCGACAGTTTACACCTCAGGCGATGCTTAAGAAAACCTAAGTTTTCGGCCAGAGTCTCGATTATTCTGAATGTTTCAATGTAAATCCCAAGAGCTTAATAGAAATGCTGGGTTTTCATTCAAGTTCTGAGACTATGAATTTCTTAACCCATGATTTCTTAAGCATTTCGCAGGGTGTATGTTTGTGCCGTTTCTTCTTCCTCTGCTATCCGCCTCGTCCACCCCTTCCCCCTCCTCCGTGCGGGGCGCTCCAGAGAGGGCCTCGCCTTCGAGGGATGGGGAAGATGGCGTGTCTTCCTCGGCGGAAGGGCGGGGGAAGGGCGGCGGAGGGCGGCGGGAGCAAAACGGGGGGGGGAAGGGGGGGCTTCCGCCGGCGAAAGTTGGCGGAAGCAAGGCACGCCTCCCAAAGAGGCCCAGATATCCGACGACGTGACATTTTCTTGCAATGCGCGGCCCCAGAGGTCCCGACCCGCTCCACCGCGGCGGCTTTGCACCACACATCCATGTTGGTGCCCCGGGGCTGAGGCCTGATAACGGGCCCCGGAGGCCCAAATCCAGGAAAAATGCTGAGATTGAAACAAACATAGCGTCGGCGATCTGGGAAGGAAGGCCGCCCCAAGAGGTCCCCCAGGCTAGTTTTTCGCCCTGAAAACAATTTGTGATGACCCCGGAGACCCACATCGAGGAAAAAAAAAAAAAAAGAGCGCCACCCCCTACAAAAACGACCGTCGGAGATCTGGGAAGGAGGCCCACCCGAAGAGATGGCAACGATTTGGGGCTCAGGGTTTCCGGAACCCGCCATGTTCGTTCAGGGACAATGCTAGGGGGGCTAGACTTGGTGGCGAGCAGAAGGGGGTAGGGGAAGGGGGGAAGGCTTCTTAGAAGAAGAAGGCGCCGGCCTCATCTACAGAGAAGGCCCGCACCTTCTAAGCAGCAGGGGTGCTTCTAAGAAGCCTTCCCCCTTCCCCCATACCCCCCCTTTGCGCGCCGTCAAGAGGCTCAGGAGGGAAGGCATCGACCCCCGATGGCCCATGCATCGCCGATGGGGGCCCAATAGCCCACCCCGCACAGGACCGTGCGGTTCGGCGATCGAGAGAGGAGGAGGAGGAGGAGGAGGAGGAGGAGGAGGAGGAGGAGGAGGAGGAGGAGGAGGAGGAGAGGGAGGAGAGGAGGAGGGAGGGGAGGAGAGGAGGAGGAGAGGAGGAGGAAGGAGCAGGCGGAGGACGAAGAAGAGCACGTCGCGACTTTGCTCACGGCCCCTATGGCCAGCCTATCGGCAGCGTGTCGCCGATTCCAGGTCGATGCTTCCCCCAGGAGGGAGGGAGGAGGAGGAGGAGGAGGAGGAGGAGAGGAGGAGGAGGAGGAGGAGGAGGAGAGGAGGAGGAGGAGGAGGAGGAGGAGGAGAGGAGGAGGGGGAGGAGGAGGGAGGAAGGAGCAGGCGGAGGACGAAGAATGCTTCCCCCTGGAGCCGGTCCCCCCCCCTCGTTGCCTTCGGCTTTCGGGCCACAGCTCGGCTCTCTGGCGGCCGTTCGGGGCAATACGGGCACCCCTGGGCCGCTCTCGGCAAGGCGCAGCCGCTGGAAGGCATCCCGAGGCTGGGAACCCATGGAGAAACGACGAAAATGTCCGAGCAACTCCAAACTCCACCCTCCAACCCCCTGTCGCTACCCCCCCTAACGTTCTCCCTCAGCGAAGGATCCCCCGCCGAAGATATGGCAACTCTTTGGGGGTGCAGGGTTTCCGGAACCCGCCACGTGCCCTCGGCAAGCGCGCAGGCCCCAGTCTGGGAAGGAGGAGGAGGCAGAAGGAGGAGGAGGAGGAGGAGGAGGAGGAGGAGAAGGAGAAAGAGGAGGAGGAGAAGGAGGAGGAAGAGGAGGAGGAAGAGGAGGAGAGGGAGGAGAGGGAGGAGAAGGAGGACGAGCAGGAAGAGGAGAAGAAGGAGGGAGGAGGGAGGAAGGAAGGGAGAGAGGGAGAAGAAAGGAGGAGAGGGAAGAGAGAGGAGGAGAAGGAGGAAGCAGGAAGAGGAGAAGAAGGAGGGAGGAGGAGGAAGGAAGGGGAGGAGGACGAGGAGAAGGAGAAAGAGGAGGAGGAGGAGGAGGAGGAGGAGGAGAGGAAGAGGAAGGAAGGAGGAGGAGAAAGAGGAGGGAGAAGGACAGAGGAGAAAGGAGAAAGGAGGAGGAGGAGGAGGGGGAGAGGACGAGGAGGACGAGAAGGGCGAGGAGATGGCAACCGTTTTTTGGCCCACGGTCTCCTGAGCCCGCCACGGTGCCCCCAGCGAGCGCGCAGGCCTGGGCTCTTGGCGTCCCTCGGCGA